ATTAGTAGAAGGCTTTTAATGATAAAATTTGTAATGAGTTTTGAAATTGTCTCATAATTCAAAATGATGATGGGTTATTATTGATAAAAAAAATTTATCGTTAAAAAAATATTTTATTATTAAAAAAATAATTACAAATAAAATACAAATTTGTAATAATAAGAGTTATTATTATAATTCATTACAATTGTAGTTAATTTCATATATTAATCATAAATAAATACATGCTCAAAATTTTAAATGCTTTCATTGAATACATTCAAAAAACAAAAAAATGCTTTCATTGAATAAAATTTGTTAAATGTATTTTTAATACTTTAAAGTTTAAATTGTACTTTTTTTTATTCAATCAAAATTTGGAAACACCATTCTTTTCTACAACATTTTAATATTTCATAATAAAACTTAGGTAAAAAAACATAAGGATGAGGTTTATGGCCACCGAAATCGTATATTTTATTAGTATATATATGTTTTCTTAAATATTTAGTTGATTATGATTGATGTCTAAAAAATATTTACCCCAAAATGCTTTTAAACGGACGTCATTTTAATTATTTTTTAAGTAAATCGAACCGTAAAGTTAAACTACTTGATATGCACTTGGCCTTCCGACCTAGTGGCAATCGCCACCCCGATGCATTCTCCTTTCTCTGGATTGAGTTCGAAACCCACCCTTTGTAAATATGTTCAAATAAAAAAAAAGTTAAACTACTTGATATGCGCATGTGCGCATGTCAGGTGGTGGCAGGCACGTGCTTCCCACCTCAACCTAGTCATTGGATTTTGAATCCAATGGCTGTCATTTTTTTCCTTTGAAAATTTTTTAATTTAATTATTTTATTTGAATATATAAAATGTAATTAGAATAAAATAATAATTATATAATTTAAAAAAAAATTTATTTTAAATATGCATTGAAAAAAATGTTTTATTTAAAAAATTAATATATAAAAACAGAAATTTATATTAATTTTAATAACGTAAGACAAAACTCAGCTTTATAATTGTTCTTCTATTGTACATGTTCTAACCATACAAATCCATTCCCTTCTATTGTTATGTACTCGTGTTTGTTTCTTTTTCCACTTTTGGGTTTGAGGGTTTTCTTTCTTCCTTTCTTTTCTAGAGTTGCTGGTACTACCAATGTAACGTAACCAGCATTCAAATTCCGTTATTCAAAGTAGGGCTGGACAAATGGTTAATTCATAAATGGTTAGTAAAAAATTGATAAAAAATTAATTAAATGGTTAAATGTAAATGATTTTTTTTATATTTTTTCAATTTTAGTTAGATAATCAAAATAATTTGATCGATTAATGATTAGAGGATTGGAAAACCGACAAACCAAATATATAATTAAAAAATGTAATTTACATTAATAAATAATAGTTATTTAAATATTATAAACAAATAAAAAAATTAACTTATTCAATCTCATTGTCAAGTTTTCCCCTATAAAATTTGTTATAATTTAGTATTTGAATTTAAGTCATTTCTAAAAGTAAAAAAAGAATTTCAAAATTCATATTTTACTCTCATTTGTTCACCTTTTTTTACATTTTCTTATCTATATATCTCTTAAAAATTTCAAATTTTGATTAGGTATAGTAATTGTTAAGTTTGAAATAGACATTAATTGTTGATTTGGTTATAAGTAAGGACAGATATGTTAAAACTGATTATTTCAGTCACCAAATAAAAAATCTATAAACATTTTTTCTTTGATTTTGCTTCCTATAAACTGAAAAAAAAAAAAAAGAGGATATATAGTCAAATATTGATTTTGGTTGGACCTAAATTGAATTGTGTCCACCCCTAATCAAAGGGTAGTTTGGAAGGAAAAAAGAGTTAGTTAAGAAAAAGATAAAGAAAAAAAAAGGAGGGTTCAAAATCATATTAATTGAGTAGGTAACCAACATTCAAAATTCCTGGATCTCTATGTAAATTGTCTCTCTATGGCCTTTGAAACTTAAATATGGAAGGGGAGGTCCAAGCTAATTAATTAATTATAAATCCTATATGGAGGCCATTCAGTTAAATTCAAATCTAAACTTTTGCAAAAAGTTTACTTTGGTCACTTATGTTTTATTTTTATTATTTTTATTCTTATTTTTTTCATACTATTTTAATCATTTTCTAGCATTTGTCTGGTTGAAAATTACTTTTAATGATAGAGGAAGGGGGAATAAAGGTAATATAAAATACGAATAAAAGTAAATATTAATAAAAATTATTTATTATAATTTTTTACTATATTTGTTCATTAGTATCATTACCTTTTTTATATTATTTGATCATAATATACGTGTTTTCACTTAATATATGTTCATTTTATCTTCTAATTAATAGTGTTTATTCTACGTCATCAACCACACTACCACAGTTAATTTATTGTTAAATATTAACAAATATTAATTAAAATATTTTTTTAACTTTTCCAATTGATACAAAAGTTATTGTTTTTTGTCAATTTTGTTTACCCCTAAAAATATTTTCTGACTTCGCCACTAGTACTGGTTCGATCAGCGTACAAAATTGCAAATTGCAGAGAGGAGAAATAAATTAAATATTAAAACGAATGAATCACGTTAGAAAATAAGTGCGGCACTCGTTGTTTTCTTTACGTGGTCCTGTAATTAGGTTGTCTCTTGTTTTGGGAATCAGTAGTCCCATAATTTAATATTTAGCGATGGGGAGACCAGCCAGAGGTAGGGCTGGTTCCGAAGTTGTACAAACCGCAGATCTCTGCGAGTCGAGAAATCGTTGAAGAAATTAAAGAAGAAGAAGAAGGAAATGGGTCGGAGTCGTCATTGTCTTCTGGATGGACTGAATAAGGGAGCATGGACTAGTAATGAGGACAAGATCCTTACAGATTATGTCAAGGTTCATGGTGAAGGAAAATGGAGCAATGTTGCCAAGAAAACAGGTTCTTCGTCCAACACTAATTAATCTTCTCTTTAAAGTTTACTGTTTTATCAAGTTAGTTTTCCTTTTTGATGTTCTCACACAGCTACAGTTTTTACTTAATTATTGGTTGCACGAACCCAAACTGTAGGTCTACAGGTGAGTACAAAGAAGCATGAATGATAGATCAAAACGTTTGTTTTGTAGTGTTTGTTTGATTTGTGGGAATTTATTAATGTATCAAGTTTGTTTGTTATGAACAAGATGTCCTGAGTTTTGTGTCCATTATTAGCTGTGAGCTTGTCTCTTTTGAACTCTTATTCATACTAGGTGGATTTCTTTAGTAGTTGTTGTGTGAATTTATGTTTTGAATTTGTCTTAAAATAATGTGTGATTAAATTTGTTAGTCTGTTAATTATTGTAATTTGATTGTATTTAAGTAGTTGAATATCCCTTATACTTGTAAATTTTATCTTTCCTTATGAAAAAGAAAAACTGTAGATCTTAAGAGATGTGGGAAGAGCTGTAGGCTCCGGTGGAAGAACTACTTGAAACCTGATATAAAGAGAGGCAACATTTCCCATGATGAAGAAGAATTGATCATTAGACTCCATAAGCTCCTAGGCAACCGGTACGCATATAAGTTTACCGCTCCGGCTGGTCAAATTTGCAAGACAAATTTGCTGCCAATATGTACTACAGTTTTGTGTTTTGAAATTAATTGGTTTGCATGGCTTGAACTTTAGATGGTCACTTATAGCGGGGAGGCTTCCTGGCAGAACAGACAATGAAATCAAGAATTACTGGAACACTACTCTATCCAAAAGGGCAAAATACTTTAAAATGAAAGTTTTTACTACAATTGGCAATGCTGATGAGTTTCCCCAGACCATGTGCAAGGCCAATGTTAAACTTACATCTCAGGCTGTCCTTGTCGATACAGCAGCACAGTCCGACAAAAATCAGAATGGTACTTATAATGTATCAATAGGATCATCCACTGAAAACTACATGTCCAGGAAAATGGAGTACGAGTTCAACGATGCGTTGCCATCTTCCTTGCACCAATTAAAAGATCATGACAATGCAACAGATTTCTTGATGGACTTCGACGTAGACGATATTTGTAAGTTTTTGGACGCGGAGTTGTACGGATGAATGATGACAAAGTTTCCCCAAACGGTAGCGAAGGAGTAGGGGGAGATGATGGAGATGGAGACTCGTCTTTTTTCAAGAAATTGGCGGAGGCGGATAAGGAATCATCCTTGGATTTCCAGTCGTTGGCTTCTTCTTTTCTTGAATCGGCTGAGGAATGTCCACCGATTAATCTGAATATATTAGTATTCAACCAGCATAAATGAACATTATTTCTTTGGTACGTCTTTAGAGAATTAAGATTCTAGGTGTATGTCTTCAGTAAACTATATATACTTTTGTAATTTCATGATCTAGTGATACTTATGCTCTAAGGTGGACTTGATGCTGGCGCCATGGAAATAATAAAGTGTTGGGTTCTCATTTTCACAGAGTGTGATATCTTACATAAGATAGATAACATGAGACTAGCTAACATATGTTGATGCTTTGATTTTGGATGATATTTGGAACATATATATCATCTTATTTTATGAGTTCTCGTTACTTACTTTTAAAGTTAATATATTAATATTGTTTTTTTTTTTTTTGAAAAGCAAATGAATTTTTTTGTAAGTATAAGGGGTATTTAAACCCATAAACATCAGTACATGAAATTAGATGTAGACATTATGGTCAAAACAAAATCACCCAACAATCCAAAAAACAGACCAAAAAACCAAATACTCCCATATATTAATATTGTTTTTTTAATATAATAAAAGGCATATGTTTTAATTTTTTAAAATTAAACTACAATTATATTTACAAAATTAAGTCATCTTTCATGCATTGAGTGTAGTGAAAATTGCCATTTCTTTTAAGGAAAATTGTTGTATTCAATATGTATTTATTTATTGAATAAACATTAGATTTAATTGGATGAACTTATTCAAAAAAACGTTTTATTTTATCAATTATTTTTATTAGAAACACATGTAAAAGGCAACGAATGTTGCATGCCAAAGTTTTTGGGAGATAAAATTTCTTTTTCTTCTTCTTCTTCTTTCGGTTTTTGCTTATCTTTTTCTTCTTCTTCTTCTTCTTTCGGTTTGCTTATCTTTTTCTAGTGGGGTATCTCTTCGTGAGAGTCTTCTTCTTTCGGTTTTTGCTTATCTTTTTCTACTTCTTCTTCTTCTTTCAGTCTTCTTCTTCTTCTTCTTCTTCTTCTTCTTCTTCTTCTTCTTCTTCTTCTTTCGGTTTTTGCTTATCTTTTTCTAGTGGGGTACGGGTATCTCTTTCAGTCTTCTTCTTCATCTTCTTCTTCTTCTTCTTTCGGTTTTTGCTTATCTTTTTCTAGTGGGGTATCTCTTCGTGAGAGTTTTGTGTGGATTGATAGCGCATCTAGAGTGACAAATTTAGCGATGGTTTGTGGCAATGGCATGGTGGCCCAATGTGTGGCCTTTTCTCTGTTGAATTTTTTCGTGGAGGAAGAGCAACCAATGAAGGTGCCAAAGATGGCAGGCAAGTGGAGCAGTGGCTTGGAATGGAAAAGGAGCAATGGGTGGCTATGGTGGGCGGCACGTGGTGGTTGTTGATGGATGCGGTTGTTTGGAAAGCAGGCGGTGGGCTAGCGTTGCTTAGGTTGGCCTGAAGTTGGTGGGAAAGAGGTGATGAGTTTCCATGGTCGAGCACTGTAGAATTTTTACCAAAAATCTCAAATTTGTCAGGCAACAATTTGCAAATCCTAGAGTTTTTGGATGGAAATTTTAAGTATGATGAAATCTATTCAACATCAGGAAGGCTTAAAATGAAATTAAGGAAGGAAAAAAGGGGAATTTTATTATTTCCTTTTTATGTTAAGATTTTAATTCTTCCATATCCCATTAAGGATGCTAATGGTGTGAGATTGCGATTACCTAACGTCTATTTTAAACCAACCCACCCCCCTACCCCCGAAAAAAATTATGCGAAATAAAATGATTTTATGTAAAACTTTGTGAAAAGGTAATAGTATGAGAATAATTTTTTATACAATTTTTATATATAATTTTCATATATTATTAAATAAATAAGTAAATAAATATAATATTATGAGCGAGATAAAAAATTTAGAGTGAGCTGTATCGGGCCGTGATTCATCAAAAGAATCATTACCATCCCAAAGAAACTAGGCTCAAAAGTGACACACATACCATACCAATCAATCATAGGAGCAAGAAGCACAGTCTTCAAGGCAAAAGGCAATTAGCTGCCTTTTCTGTGAGGTATGGTCAGAAGAAAATTTCCTTTTATGTACAACTTTTGTCCCCTGTGTTTTACTGATAAACTGCTGGATTTAGGATTTCAGTTTCATGCTTGTTGTCACCATACTGTATTCTGGTAACTATCTTTATGAATCTGTGTATTGGAGTTTGCTTTTGCCAATACTTAAAAAGGAATATGATTTCTGGTCACTTTAAGAAACACCCAAAATTACCATTATCCAAACCCTTTGTTTACACCCTACATAAGTTTTTTTTACAATCAAAACCCTTCATAATTTTCAATTCATAAAAAAAATTGGTTCAATGTCAAATTTGGTCCCTTAGCTTTAAAGTTTTGCATAATTTTCATCCCTCAACTCTTTTATACACATTTTGGGGTCCCTTAACTATAAAAAATGTATTTTTTTAATCATTTTATCAATTAGCCTGTTAAATCTATCTAAATCTGCACATTTTTAGTGTCTCAACTTCTAATATATACATATTTTCCATCCTTCAACTTAAAGTTGATAGACTAAAAATGTGCATATTTAAACAAATTTAACAGACTAACTGAAGGAATGATTAAAAAAATATATTTTTCATAATTAAGAGACAAAAAAATGCATAAAAAAGTTAAGGGATGGAAATTGTGCAAAACTCTAAAAAAAATTTCAATTATTGTTTATATAAATTATGAAATTTTTATATAAAATTTTATTTAAAAAGTCAAAAAGTCATATTAGATTTACTAAAAATTAATTTAGAAACTAAATCTTAATTATTGCAATAAGTAAATTTTATAATAATTATAATTGGATAAAATAAAATCATTAAATTAGATATGAGGGAATATATAATCCATGTACCTTTTATTTGTAAGACACAAAATAAAAAAAATAAAAAAAAATAAAAAAAACCCCCTTTTTTATATATGTATAAGGAGTTTGAATGAATATTAAACGGGCCATGTTATAAAAAAATTGATTTAACATTTTAGGGCCGGTTCCAATTGATGTGGGCTTGGGTTCTTTGAATTTTTTTTTTTTTTAATGATGAGAAAGCATCATCGTTTTGGATCTTCAGAATGGACGAAGGAAGGTAGAGCATATGGGCTTGAATTGTGAAAATTTACGTGTCATGTTATTATGCCTTGGGGAAGGAAATAAAAGCACAAAATTTTTCATTGGGCTTAACAAAGTCAATCTCATTTAGCTAAAATTAGGGTGAGTATGTTTTGGTATAAATTGGGTATGAGTTATATTTGATATTTAATTTAAAAATTTGTAAGTATAGTTTTTTAGACTTAGTATTTATCTAAATACTTGAAAATTTATATTTGGTATTTAATCCAATCGGTATTAGATAACTTACAAGTATATATTTATGTACTTATTAAATGATATTTTGCTTTAATTTTTTTAAATTAAAATTTAATAATATATTATTTACTTTCAATCTATACCTAAATAAAAGTAGTAAAAATTTAATAAAATATTATTTATTACAATATAAACTTAAATATAATCTAAAATAATAATAGAGAACTAAAATTTAATTTCATATCAAGAACTTAAAGCCACGTACTATTAAAAAACTAAATTCAATTAAATAATTAACAATAAAGAATAAAAACTATGTACCAAAAAATAATGAACGAAAATAAATTAAATAACAAAATGAAAGCACTTCAAAGAAGATGTCTAGATTTTTGGATTCATAATCCTTCTAATCTTTTGCTTTAATTTGTTAGAAAGAGATAGTGATTGATGGTATTATATTTATTTTAACATTTTAATATCTATATATATTTTTTATTTACAATTCTTATTATGTTAACTTTGTAGTTTAAAGCTAAAAAAACCTATACAATAAACAAAAAAATATGACTAAAAAATTACTAAATAAAAAGTAAAAAAAAAAAAAATCTAAAAGGAATCAAAATTTGAAGTTGTATGTACTCATCATTATCTAAGAATGCAAGGAAAGGCACTTAATCTTCTTGGCCAATTGGCTTGTAGGTAGCTTTGAAGGTATATTATAGCGACATGATATTGGTTCAAATCCCCCTACCCTTGAAATTTGAACTTGTTCAAAAAAAAAAAAAAGAAGAGTGCAAGGAAGAGAAAAGTTTTTGGTTATATATGTGATATGTGTTTGGTTTAGAATTTGTTAAAATTTATAGGTTACGTGTGTAGTTTATTTTATTTTTATTTTTATATTTTATTATTTTTATTTTAAAAATTATTGTTATTATATAGATATTAAGTATAATAAGTATATATAAAATTTCAATTATAAGTACAATAATATATTAGTTAAATAAAATAATTACACAAATTAAGTAAACGATTTTAAACCTTTAGACTTGTTACTTAATTGGATATTTGCATATGTATTATTTTCATACCCATTTTGACCCCATTTTTTTATAATTTGAGTAAAATACTTACCCTACAAGTAAAATACTTATAAGTAATAGGTGTATCCATACCAAATGCTGATTGCTAACTAAAATGTTTATATGTGATTGTTTGATTCCATTCTTTTTCATGTTTAAATGTGATGAAATTAAATTTAATGTATGAGATTTTGTACAAATAACAATATAATTTTTTTTGAAAAAAATTTAATTAAAAATATAATTTTTTTATTCATCAAGAGCTACCACATTTCAAAATTTTCTAATTAAAAATATAACTTTTTGTAATTTTTAAAAAAATGTATTAAGTTAATATGAAAGTTAAATATATGCTTATAATAAATTAATATATATTTAAAGTGACTTATATATATTAATTAATTTCAATTGTGAACCAATATTACTATATTTAGTAATTATTAAAAAAATATAGTACAAATGAATTGCACATAGTGTGGTTTTAGAGTCTAATTTTTATATAAAATCTTAATATTTCATCTTAAATAGTTAAAATTTATCATAATATTTTAGATAAAAAATAAATAAACTTTAATTATTTATACTAAAAAAATTAAACAATTAAGATTTTATATAAAGAGATTAATGGGTATCAATTTACATTATTAAAAATTAAATGAAA